TACAGTATCAAATAAGGAAAACGTACCCTGAATGACGTCAGGGTTTTCCTCAGTGCGGGCCTTCATTGCGTAGGTACGGGCAGGAGCTCGTCCTTGTTGCTGGTTTTTAGCCGGATTGGACCCTACTGTTGATCTTTGGCTTGGCGCAGGTCGTGCTGATGCTGTTTGGCTGACAATCGGGGCCATCGGAAATGGTTTGCCAAGATTAGTGGGGCAATCCTTTCGAAAATGTCCAGGTTTGCCACATCCTAGACATAATCCTTGGGCCAGCCAACATTCGCCTGGATGATGCCTCCCACATGTGTTGCACAATGGGTGTTTCCACCCTCTGTATTTAATCAATGGGTGTTTATTTTCATATATTCAATACAAGCACTCAAGTCTTTATCTGCTTTGGCTATAAAAACGTAGGCTGCCGCAAAATCCACCATGGCCAAGATGGACACCCTTGACCTAAGATCAGGTCGAAGTTTATTTTTGAATCCTCAATGCGGTCGGCGGGTGTGCTCACCAAAGTTGGTGCAAACTTGGAAAGATGGGTAAACTTTTGACGGTATTCAGGGAGTGTCATATCTCCCTGTTGCAATTCAACAAATTCCTTACGTTTTTCTTCGCAAAAACGCTTAGGAATATATTCTTGCTTGAACGCCCATTCAAAATATGCCCAAGTCCATGGTTTTGGGGTTTCTGCGCTCTCATCGGTCCTCTTCCACCATTCATAAGCTTCCTTGCGAAGCAGTTGAGAAGCCAGTCTTGGATAGTTTCCGATGGGTACGTTAAGATCTTCCAACACTCGAGCAGTTTGCTCGATCCAGTCCCATGCAATTTGGGGTTCAGCAATGCGATCCCCAAGGAATATCTCAGCAATGTTATCCCTTAGCGTCTTGTAGGTTACCACACGAGGTGGCTATGGTGGTGGTTGAAACATTGGCGCGTTGGCTATATGTTGTAACACATTAGCCAGGAATGTGCGAATCACAAGGTCGGGTTGACCACCAGCGTTTCGATTATTCCCAACATTTTGTTGATCATTGGGTTCGTTGTGGACAGGAGGAGTGAAGCTGGATGCTTCAGTATGAACACTGATGTGTTCATTGTTGCCTTGACCATGGGAAGATTCTTGACTCATTCTACAATAACATAAATTCCTTTATTAGGATTCTTTTATTCAGTAGTTGAGTTTAAGACAGGAATTACAAAGGATTACAACAATCGATACAATCAATGGATTTGAAGTGAACAACGATATAGTTTTCTAAGAAATTGCATTCGATTGGTTGGATCGTGATGAATCTACAGATGGGTCTTCCACGCCCGATCCACATACACTGTTGGCAGAGTCTACGCTGAAGGTCTCTTCCGGATCATCTCGTTCCCATGAAGCCTTGCGGCGCAAATAAATCTTTCGTTTCATTATTTTCGCAAAGTGATGGGCACGTTGATAATGTATCAGCGAGTCATATACATTTCGTTTGTTCTTTCGTCTTCCACCAAGTCTGAAAGTCCGACTTGAGTCAACACTCGATATCATTTCCGAGTTAACAGTTGACCTCTATAAAAATTTAATACAGTCAAATTCAATACTTAATTTTTATTACCTTCTTGGAGCAGAGGGATGCGAGAGTCGTGGATTTGCAATTTTTTTTAAAGGCCAAATGACATATATATAGACACACACACACACACACACATATATATATAATATTTTTAAGTTCAAGTTTTTGATCCGAAAATCGATTTTAAAACCATTTGCTCCGATACCAAATTGTAACACCCTAATCCGTCTAGGTCTGCATCTCCTTTCAGACTAAAGTATTTAACTTTGTAATTGTATTTAAAACATTTCAAATAACTTTATTCATCATAAATAAAATTTCATACATGATTGTAGAAAATATGGAGTGTTTAATAATAATGCGGAAGCAACTTTTAAACATGTCTCATAACAACATAATTATTTATTTTATTCAGTGATCCACCACGACTGTCCTGCCCCTTCCGCTGCCAGGATTAAGCCTTTCACTCATTCTGCCTACCTGCGTGTAGCAAATAAAACACAGTATACGCTTAGCGTTGAAGCTGAGTAAGCATATCTAAAGCGTCGAAGTTCCACATAAATTGAATCTCAATTCATAACCAACCATTTGATATCATGCACACAATATATGATTCAAACATTCATGATATTCTCAATATTTTATTCCAAGTCATTTGATATTCAATATCTCAACGATGCTCTTAAATTATTCTTAATCTAAGGCCAAATCACTTTATAACAAGCTCTTAGCTATTTCTAGTCTAAGACAATATTTATAACCAGGCCCTAAAACTATGAATAGTTTAATGCAGAACACAGAAATCGATAATCCACCCTATGAGTCATGTGGATTACGTACCAATCGAACATTAATTTGTCGGGCGGGTGATATCCGTTCTGATCCCGTACGTACGTTTTAACCCCGAATTATGAATTGGTCAAGAAGGTATATCTTAGAGTTCTTCTAGATATTTTTAATAATCATCATCAATATACAAGTGGGTATATTTTAGAGTTCTTCTAGATATCCTTAACAATATACACCGTTTTCATAATCACCATCATATTCATTTTTAATCATGATTTAATCATCAATAATCATTCTAATGAGTAGGTTTATCATTCATAATCATCCATAATAATCATTCATCATAATATCAATTAACATAACATTCAATAGCAAGTAGCGGCCTAGTTTCGAGTGTTAACACTTTAACTTACCGTCATGCATCACATAAGGTCTTATTTGACAAAAATGTCATTTTTATTATGAAAAATCATCCTTATAATGATTATAGTCAATTGTTATCAAAAATAGAATTTCATAATTCAAAAATCATGTTTTCTGAACAATAATCGATTAATATATGATAGGAAAATCGATTAATAGCTACTGACTTCATTTTCTTCAGCAAAGTATCATAATAATCGATTTTTATTGTTGAATAATCAATTTTTATAATAAATAATCGATTTTTATAGTCCAAAAATCGATTTTTCCTCTGTTGGATTCGTTTTCTTCAGCAGACGAAAGTCTAATCGATTTATTTATGAAAAAATGATTTTACATCGTCTTCTACCTCGAGCCAACTTACGGAAATGTGTTTTTTAGTCACCAAACTTGAATCAAAGTATATAGAAATGTTCTCCAAGGTTCATAGATCATTTTGGTAACATTAGTTCATAGTTTTAACAACAATTTCAAGGTTTATGATTCTTGGTTATTCATAGTCCTTGATTGGGACTAATATTTGGTCCTAGTCGGGGTACACTTTTTGGTCCAACTTTCTCTAAATTGAAATCCGATTGAACCGTTGGGATCAGACAGTCAAACTCTACATAACGATATAATTTTCATTATTTATTGACAAACTTTATAAATCACTTATTTTTTTGGGTTCTTCTCAGTAATTAATTAATTAATTATTAATCAATTAATTCTGATAGGCTTATTTTCGGGGCGTTACATAACGAATAATGGGTGGTTAGGATTAGATAGGATACTAAGTGGAGATTTTCGCACCCACCTTGGAATGGTTGATTATGCATCTGTCACGGTCCAATAGGTGGACCGTTTTGTTCTTCATCGAATTTGTTCAAAATGGTTTTTGTGAACTGTAACACCTTAATCTGTCCAGGTCTGCAGACTCTTTCGGACTAAACTATAAACTTGGTAATCATAAAATTTAAAACATTTCAAACACTTTTATTTATAACAATAATATTATTCATAACAGAACAGTACAGAGTTTTCAATGTTGCGGAAACTTAACAAATCACAATCACGAAAAATAATTAATTTATGTCTTTTGAAATAATAATTCATAACCACCACATCCTTACGGACAATCTTGCCTTCGTCTATCGCCAAGATCATGTCACATCATTCTTTCTATTTACCTGCGTATAGTAAATAAAACATACTACACGCTCAGCATTGAAGCTGAGGAAGGATATCTAATGCATCGAACATCCACAAAAATTGAATCTCAAGTCATAATCAAATCATTTGATATCATGCACATAATATTCAATTTAGATATTCAATAATCATCACATTGATGATGTTCAATTCATATCAGATCATTTAATGGGGTAATGGCATGGTGCTCCCCGTGGTTTACAAAAGAAGCGCCAAAACCTCTTCTACTTTCAAAAATTATTTGTAAAACCCTTGTGGTTTTTAAATAGTGCACATATGCCTCCTCTTGCCTATTTTTATACATGAAATGATATTTCCGCCCTTGGTTTTTCTCTATCTTCAAATTTCACTTTTATTTGTATTTTTTGTTATACAAATACATAAAATATACGCCCTCTTTCTCATATTAAAAATTTTCACTCATTTAATTTTTAGAAAAATAATTTTTTTTAGAAAATGTTTCAAAAAAATGAAAAAATTAAAAATAAAATAAAATACACCTTTCCATTATAAGTAAAAGTAAAATAAATAAAATAAAAAATTAGATAAAATAAACTCACTCTATGTCTAATTAAAAGTTCTAACTTATTTGTTTTTTAAAAGTAAAATAATTTTTAAGGACTTTAAAAAATGAAGATCAGAAACATGAAATAAAATATGGAGTTAAAGAAAAAGATTGTTTTTTATATTTTTAAAAACATAAATTTTAATATTAATTTTTTTTTTTTAAAAAGTAAATTTGCCTAAAACAATCTCATCTTTCATTTATTTGCCAAAAACAAGTATTTTCTAAAAATTTCGTTAGTGGCCGTTAGCATTTTAACACCAGCTCAAAATTCACACATATTCAGAAACGTGAGATTATTTCCAATGATAGTAAAAAGTGAAATGATTTTTGATAAAACGTGAAAAAATGGGATAATTTAAGGAAATTTTACCTATCCAGTTTAGGTTAGCACAGAAGAGTATCTTCGTACCACAATTTAAAAAAGAATCCCGTGATTGAGGCGATTAATTAGCGATTTTGTCATAAAGCTCATAATGACCAGCCTCTCCCTTTTCTTCTTTCGGTCTTTCTTACCATAACACATTTCCACATGCTCAGTCACTTTCCACCTTTTTCTTTCAAAAAATTTCATAAACAAACAGAGTAAAATATATGCAGCAAAAAATTATACTCCGTACTATAGTCAAGTCCATGATCTTCCTTGTCATTCAATATTAATTCATTCATCAAACTTGGCGTGAGAGTTTAATTAATCAACAAAAAAAAAAACATGGCCACTTTGGCTGACATTGGTGTATCAGCGTTGATAAACATAGTGGGCGCCTTTGTGTTCTTGCTGGCGTTTGCCCTTTTAAGGATTCAGCCCATCAATGACAGGGTTTACTTCCCCAAGTGGTACATTCTCAAGAAGAGAAGTGGTGAGCCCAGCCAAGTTCCCAATTTGGTTGGCAGGTTTATTAACCTCAATCTCAAGACTTACCTCACTTTCCTCAACTGGATGCCCCAGGCTCTGAGCATGAGTGAGCCCGAGATCATCGCTCACGCCGGGCTTGACTCTGCCGTGTTTTTGAGGATTTATACCCTCGGGTTAGTATATATAATTCTAACCCTTCTGCTTTGTTGAGTATTGTGTAAAAAATGTCATGAGACAAGCTTAACCAGAAGTTCAAGTTTGTGGTTGTATGTCAGAAAGTGTTTCCATATTTGTCAAGGAACCAACTCAACTAAAAGCTCAAGCTTGTGTTTGTGGCCCAGGAATGATTGTTATATACTCTAACACGCCCCCTCACGTGTAGGCGTGACCTCTTTGAGCCTTGCACGTGAAACCTTATTTTTTTTAATTTGGGTGGCGGTGAGTTTCGAACTCGTGACCTCTTGGTCATCAAGGCTCCGATACCATGTCAAGGAACCAACTCAACCAAAAGCTCAAGCTTGTGGTTGTGGCTCAAGAATGATTGTTATATATACTCTAACAATATTTTAGCAAGCCCCGTCACGTGAAACCTTAATTTTTCAAAAACTGGGTTATGGTATGTTTCGAACTCGTAACCTCTTGGTTAACAGAACTTTAATACCATGTAAAGAATTGACTAGAACAATTCATTTGTCTTTTGGTTATCCCAGGTGCTGTTTGTGAGTAGTGACAGTTTTTCTTTTAAAGCCCATCTATGTCCTCTTAGTGGCAATGGGTTCGGGAATTTCAAAATGTTTTACTTGGGTTCTATCAACCAAAGGAATAGTTTTTCTGACACAATTTTCGGTGCATGTTTACTTCCCTTGCTTTCTATTAAGTTTTGGAGAGTAAATAAAGCAATGCATTAAGGCTTTAATGGAGTAAGTGTATCACACCTCTGTAGTTCCACAACTACTAATAGTGAGAGCATAATTAGACAATAGGTGAAAGGAGAGTAGGAGGGTGAAGAGGCCGGTGTGGCTATTCATGCTTATCGTTAATAAGCATCAAGGATTTAACGGATATTGTCTCTGTTTTTCACAAGGGTAAGTCGCTTACATCGTGACCCCAAACCCCAAAGAACTTGTGGTTATAATGGGTTTCTTGTGGTTGTTGCTGTTGTTTTCGTTCCTTTCTGTAGAAAACATTAAGAGTCCGTTTAGCATTTAGGTTTAGCCTTTTGGAAAAGTTGTCCAATTGTAGTTTTCAGCTTTAGCATTTTTAAAGTTAAACCGCTCCGCTAAGATCTAAATTATCTAAAACTCTAATGCAATTGCAAACGTTGTTCTCAAATAGACGCTGGTTCATGTTTCACTTTCTTAATTTCTGTGCCCAGTCAAAGTAGGCAAGATAAGATGGGAGGGAGGAAGAATTAGTTAGCAAAAAAAGAAGGGTTAGTTCAACTGAATTCTGTGAAGTGCTAGGACAATTTCTTTAGATGAATTAAAAGATGATCAATGTCTGTCTTGAATCCAACCCAAATGGAAGCAATTAGGATGATTTATCCTCATCAAAAAGATGTTATTGGTGCTGTCATCTGGTTGAAATTTTTGAATTGTGAAGTAATGACCTTTCTGTATTTGACAGTTTAAAAATATTTGGACCGACTGCCATTGTAGCCCTCTTGGTTCTAATCCCAGTCAATGCTTCAGGCGGGAGTTTATTTTTCCTCCGTAAGGACTTGGTTGTTAGTGAGATTGACAACTTGTCCATATCCAACATCAGCCCCAAATCTTTGAAGTAAGTTTGATTTATATGGTATTTGCACTATCAGTGTGCTGCAATTGATTATTCTTTGTATAAATTGTTCCCAGTTCATTACTTTCCAGCTTAATTCATTAAATTTAATCCAAGAAGGGACCCATTCGGGTGTTATGTTCAATTCAGTCATTTTAATTCAAGTTTGTTCTACTTTCTTTGGAATTTCACACACTTACATATCTCATTTCTGTGAATGAGTATGATCATTTTCTTGTCGCACTAAAAGGAAATGTTATGGTTGATTCAGATTTTTTGTGCATTTAGCAATGGAATATTTGTTCTCGTTTTGGACATGTTATATGCTGTACAAAGAGTATGGCAGAGTGGCGTCAATGAGATTCAAATTTTTGGCTTCTCGGGGCCGGCGAGTTGAACAGTTCACTGTGAGTAAAAAATCAATTCATTGGTCCCTTTTGTGAGGCAATATCTTCGACGTTTAAAAAAATATAAACTTTTTTTCTATAATTCATAAAAGATCCGTTTATGAATCTTGTACAACATAATTCATTGCTTCTGATGAACAAATGTAGCCACGTCAATCTGGCCACTCGATATCAGATAGTGTGGAAATGTATTTTAAGAAGACTAATCCGGATCACTATCTCTGCCATCAGGTCCGTATCAATGTGTCATAGTTTCTATTTTTTCAAATGGTTTTTTGAGCCGAGGGTCTTTCAGAAATAACCTCTCCGCCTTTTATAGCTTACCTCTAATCATGTTAACATTATTAACTTATTTAGGTTGTATATGATGCGGACAACTTTGCCAAACTTGTGAGAAGGCGAAATAGGCTTCGGAATCGGTTAGACTACTACCTGATCAAGTTTGAAAGAAATCCGAAGAGCAGGCCAACCATGAAGGTGCACAGGCAGTCACAAACAACATATTCTGCTTACATTAACCGCAACTAATTCCACCCTTCACTAAACTCTTATCTTCAGATAGGTTTTCTCGGACTTTTCGGTCAAAAAGTTGATTCCATTAACTACTATAGTCAAAAAATTGGAGAGCTGGACAAAAGAGTAAGTTGTGTATATCCCATTTCTTCTGTTCTTTTCTTGTTGTGTATCTGCTTTGGGGTAATATTTTCTCTGTTTACATTTTCTTAGCTGACAATGAAGCGTGACAAGATGGCCCAGCAGCTTTTGTATCATTCAATTCAACATGGGCAGCAGCTGTTAGTGCTCAAACACAACAAAGCAGGAACCCAACACTGTGGCTAACAAATTGGGCCCCAGAACCGCGGGACATATATTGGAAGAACCTTTCGGTGCCATTTCTTTCTCTAAGCATCCGGAGATTGGTGATACCTATATCATTGTTTGCTTTAGTTTTCTTTTACATGATTCCCATTGCTTTTGTGCAATCACTTGCAAACTTGGAAGGTTTAGAAAAGGTCGCACCTTTCCTAAGGCCATTAATTGAATGGTAAGTAAATAGAAAGCCGCCGTATTTTCTGTTCATAAAATCATTAGCTCCCCTTCTAATTCTAAGTGCAGCTCTTAGAGTACTATTTCACAGTTTAAATTGCCTGCGGGATAATGCAGGAAGGTCATCAAGTCTTTCCTACAGGGTTTCCTCCCCGGGCTAGCTCTTAAAGTCTTCTTGGCCGTTCTTCCAACACTTCTAATGATCATGTCGAAAATCGAGGGACATGTGGCTTTATCTTTGCTTGAGAGGAGAACTGCAGCAAAATATTACTATTTTATGTTGGTAAATGTATTTCTTGGGAGCATTGTGGCTGGAACAGCTTTTCAGCAACTCCATGCTTTTCTTCACCAATCTGCTACACAGTAAGTAATGCACTAACCACTCATTTATCCCACAAAAGTAAAACTGAAACCTAATTTCCTGCAAATTAAACACTCCCTTCTGCTTAGACATTTATTTTCTTTGAAGTTTGCTATGTTTTCCCATGTGTTGATTACTCTGAGCCATTTGAAAATGCAGAATACCAAGAAACATTGGGGTGTCAATACCCATGAAAGCTACCTTCTTTATAACGTATATAATGGTTGACGGGTGGGCTGGCATTGCCAGTGAGATTCTCAGGCTGAAACCTTTGGTCATTTTTCATCTCAAGAACATGTTCCTAGTGAAGACCGAACGGGACAGAGAAAAGGCAATGAGTCCCGGAAGTGTAAGCTTTCATGAGACTCTCCCAACTCTTCAACTATACTTCCTTCTGGGTATTGTATATGCCGTGATCACCCCAATTCTTCTTCCTTTCATACTCGTCTTCTTTGCCTTGGCCCACCTTGTGTACCGTCATCAGGTTGGCACTCATCTTATCATCACGGTTCTTTTTGGAATGAAAATAAATCGAGTGTGACAATGCTCATATTCCATCCCAACTAATTAAGCATTTGTCGTTGTGTAGGTTATTAATGTGTATGATCAGCAATATGAGAGCGCTGCTGCATTTTGGCCACATGTTCATGGCCGCATAATTGCGAGCTTAGTTATATCTCAACTTCTTCTGATGGGTTTACTCAGCACAAAGAAGGCTGCAAAGTCCACTCCTCTGCTCATTCTGTTGCCGATTTTAACATTAGCCTTTCACAAATACTGCAAGAACAGATTTGAGCCTGCGTTCCGACAATATCCTCTTGAGGTAATACTAATAACTTGCATTTGAATTCCATAGTGAACATTTTCAATATATATAATCGGAATTGTGTTTCTGTGGTCCTAAGGTGCACATGTAAAATGTGTACCTTCTCACACTTTTCTTGGATTGACATGTGGATCTTTTACTTTTTACAAAAGACTCAATTCTTTCATAGTTTTTATACTCTCTTTGTCCCAAAAAAGACTTCTAATTTCCTTTTTGGGACGTCCCAAAAAAAGACTCTTCTTTCTATTTTTGGCAAAGTTTGTGTGGTACTGCATCTTTATCTCTCCTCTGCATCACTTCCAACCACACAATTTTACTTTTGTTAAACATTCTGTCAATCCCAATTGGGAGGCTTTTTTTGGGACGGAGGGAGTACTAAAGTCCATATTTAAAATGAGTGTGAACATTAAGAGCACACAAAATTTCGCCATATAATCGGTGTGTTGTCTGAAGTGGAACTTCTCCATCATCATTTCCAGGAAGCAATTGAAAAGGACATGGAGCAACGCGGGTCTGAATCAGATGGCCATTTCAAAGCACGGTTAGCCGATGCATATCTGCATCCAATTTTCCACTCTTTTGGTGAAGTTGAAATAATGGCAGAAGAAATTTACACCAAAAACCAGGATCATATCTAAAGTCCGTTTGATGAACGCATCGATCATATGTTAAAGACGAGCCATTAGGCAATGCCATGCCTTCTCCAAGATGAATATATGGGAGTAGTCTTATTAGTTAACATGGATAAATGCCATTAATTAACTTGTTTTATCCAACTCTTTATTGGGTTTTGCTCGTAATTGGTCTTTAAGTTATATGCAAGTGTCGCAGTTCATTAAAATTACTGTAGTTAGAAAGATTTTTAAATATCACTATTGCAAACAAAGAGGAAGAGTAAAACGAGAAATTAGCTCTCAGCGGTTTTCTTTTACGAGAATTGCTTGTCACAATTTAAAAAGTTACAAAATGAACAAATTTTTACAAGTATTTGTGAATCCATTAAAAATATACAATGATCTCAAATATTAAATAAGTGAAATTTTAAAATTTAAAATGCCAAGTTTAAGCAGTAGTGTGAATTTAGAAATAAAATTTATATATTTAAAAATTATATTTAAAGTTCTATAAAATAAGAGGTAACATTATTATGTTATTTTATTAAATGAGTACAGAAAATTGGTAATGAAAGTAATTAAAATTTAATCTTGTGAATAGTAAATAGATAAATTAAATTGGGACAAAGAAAATACAACATTTAAAGTTGAAGCACCTTCAATATAAATAAGCCACTAGTACACTACGAGCCAATAAGTTTTAAAGTTAATGGGTCCCTATATTTTAAAACGACGAATGAACATTGTCCCGCACTGAACTATTCTTGTCAGGGGGGAGCACAACCTCTTTGTGAAAACATATAGTAAGAATTTATCTGGAAAAAAAAAAGATTTGGTAGCAGCCATATATTTCATTTTTAAAAAGAACTATAGAAAACTATGATACTATTTCATTTTGAAAGACATAAAAAAGAGACTAAAGTAATCATGAGATGAAGAGAGGTACTCCGAATATTAATGTGATATTTGTTCATTGTTCCTACAAAGAATGCTCAACCCGTCGAGATCTCAATGAACTGTACTGCATAAAATACTCGGAAAGTCCGAGTGATATCGCGGGTCTTCCCAATATTAAATTACTTGGGAAAATACCACCAAGCAAACAAAGCGTGAAAATAGTACTCAAAAAAATCAAATTTTAGTTTTCTTCCCCCATTTGAGAAAATAATAGTGTTGTCACCTTTTGTTTTGTAGAACTTTTGAAATAATTTTAAATATATAAATTTTATATAAATTAAACTGAAAATAACTTCATTTAAATCTCGTAAACAAAACAAACAATTTAAATTAGAACAAACGGAGTACTCCATCTGTCCCATTTTAAATTGCATGTTTTCTCTTTTTCTCCATTCCAAAATAAGTTGCCTGTTTCTTGTAATCGTAAACTTTTAAGAGTAAAATACCTAAACTATCCCTAAAATAAGTCATTTTTCTCCACCTTATCTTCTCATTAATCGTCACCCCTCCTAAGAAGTAATGACAATTTCGAAAAGTCAACTCTCTCTATTTTTTTTCTCTTCCTTAAATATTCCCCAAAATCAAAACGGGCAATTTAAAATGAGACGGAGGGACTATTATTTTTAAATATAAAGATATTATTTTTTTAATAGCACATGATGGATAACAGGCCCATGACTTAGGCCCAATCTGATTATCATTAATTGCCTTCTTGAATTATTTAGAGGGTGTTTGACAGTGTGTTGTTTTTAATAATTTAGCTTCTACTTTGAGTAGAAGTGATTTTACTCTATTTGGCATGTCAGCTTCTGCTTTTCACCACCACTATTTCGTACATAGAACACCGTTTCAGAGAAGCAAGTATGAGGTGCTTTTGCTTTTACCTTTTGTGGAAATTACTTTATTTATAAATTAATTACTCACAAACACCCTCTTAGAAGCTTTGGGCCGAAGGACGGCCAATTCTATTGGCAGCACAGTAGAGCGCAGATGGGCCTAACAGAGTGTGGGTCGATGAAGCAACCAGCTCAAGCTCCGCTATTCAGGGAAGATTGGGCAACCAGGCATGATGGACGCTAATCACCACAATCATGGCACAAGACGTGGGACGTGATTAAATAACATGTATAATACTACATCCGTCCCAATTTATAACGCCTGTTTCGGTTTACGATGTTTGACTGAAATTATTTTTAAAGCATTTTATATGACAAATGATATAGAATTAAAAAATAAAAATTACATATTAAAAAACTACATCAAAAGATCTACAAAACTAGTAGTGACAATAATATTTTATTTTATCAAATTGCTAACGAAAATAGAAAAAGAAAGTGAATGAAGTTTGACACTGTGAATAGTAAACAGGCATTATAATTTGGGACAGAGGGAGTATAACACCTTGTAAACGCTATAAATAGGGGATAAATCTCATGTACAAAGTACAAACCCAAGCTAATTGAAGATAATGCAAACAATATATTTTGAGAGATCTTATTTCTATATTACAGTATTATTCTTTATGCCTCCATAGTCAGTGAGTTAAAATCCATCACCACACGAATTTTCAAGTAAATTATACTCCGTACATAGTATTAAAAAAAACTTCCTAAATAGCAATAGAAATCAGATTATAGGATGTGGCATAGCCAGCATCAGGCCTGTCCACTCTCACTTGTATAATTGATTATTAGAAATAAAGGGCGGTGTTTTATTTGCACCATCATTTTTTACACGAGAACAGATGTGCCCGTGTAAAAAAATGCTTGTGTAATACGACTGAGCATTTAGAGCAAGAAATGAAAACTGATGTCAAATAACAGCAGATCATAGTTTGGCATTACACATCAATTCTAAGGGCAACCACTGAACAATTTCTGCAAAGATGTATTCATCATTGCTCCAATAAAGAAAAATGGTTTGCCATGGTAGAACAATTTTTACCTAGACAGTTAAAAATGGGAACAATGACTGCAAGGAAGAAAAACAAACCCCCACTCCGAAGGCAGCATGGAATGATAGTCCAGACGATTCAACCGCGAAAGTTGAGCTTCTTCAGTACTTTTGCGTAAGCCACAGGGACCGTACCGGGTTTTCTCAGTCTACGTTTAGCACTCTTGGACTGCATGGAGGGTGCACTAGTTAAACAACCTTAGGATTTAAGAAATGGCAGTGGCAAGTAAAACACCACAATTTACCAAATAATAATAATAATAATAATAATAATAATAATAATAATAATAATAATAATAATAATAATACAACATAACAGGAGGAATGAGATGGATATTGACTGTGAGCCTTCGATGTGTGCATTTTGGGGGCGTGGGGATGTTGAAAATACTTCAATCGGGATGTTGTATAAGCCCACTGCTCTGTTAATTCTCCATCAATTTTAGGGCCTCCTTAAGGTCAATTTATCGAATATTAAACAAATACAAATACAAATTCAATTATTCAAATATATGTAGTATATGTGTGTGTGTGCACACACACACACAAATACATATATATGTATGTAGGTATATATATATATATGTAGGTATATATATATATATGTAGGTGTATATATATATATATATAGGTGTGTGTATATATATATATATATATATATATATATATAAGTATATGTGTGTGTGCGCCCGCATGTATGCACACGCTCCCCCACACAAACACACTCCCTTCATCCCATAATAAACACTTCCCAGTTGACATTGATGGAGTTTAAGAAAAGTATTGAAATGGGAAAAAGGTGTGCTTAGAATTGGTTAAGACGAGAGAAATTTTCATAGCCACAAATCTTTACTTTGAAAAGACAAGGGAAGCTTTTTCTAGACGGACAAAAAGGAAATTGAACAGATTTTTATGGGACGAAGGGAGTAAATAAAAGGCACACATACATATATCATACATATACATGCACACCCACTTTATTTGTTTTAAAGGAGCATTCCAACAAACAGATCTAGTATTAAGTGCATTTAAATTGTTTTACACATTGTTCTATTGAGTCAAATTACTAAATTTTGGTCAAACTAACGTAACATAAAAAACTAAATTATATAATTTTCAACTGTTGTGGGATTCACTGGGTTGTTGTTGTTGTTGTATACTTTGTGAAGCATATTTTGTATTCGAGGCAAGTGTAATACTCACTCCGCCCTAAAACTTTCTTCCCACTTAGTATTCATATGGTCAAATTTTATTCAAAGTTTGACTACAAAAAGTCAAACTGGACAAATATTCTAGGTACTATATAGATGAATAAAAATGTATAATGAAGGAAAAGAAATAAAGTATGGCTAAATTGTGTTTGTGTGTGAATGTGTCTATGAGTTGTGTCGTAGTTGCATGTATAAAGTATAACTATATAGTCAAACTCAAGTGGATGATCTATAAGACCAAATCATAAGAATATCACATTATGAGGGTATAGGTGTGCAGTGAAAGATGTGGGATCTTGCCAATCTATCACTCCGCAAGCACTAGTCATACTACCTAAATCTGGAGTTTTACTCACAGATGAATACTCAAAGGTTTACCATCGAGAAAACCAGGTGGTTCGGCTAAGCTTGATAAAAACAGGTGGTTTCAGATTTCCATAACGCAGTATTTCTCAAACTCAAATTTCTAAAAAGTTTAGGCCACTGCCAGATTTATCACCAGCATAAATTTAAGATAACCTCAGGTAACCATTGATTCACACAATTGGCAATCCTATAGATTACTTCTAAAATCAACTTATAATGATAACATAGTCAAGACTATGGCCACACAAATCTTCATGTTTTCTTTTTCTAAAATATAAATGTTAATATTGAAAAATCTCATTAGATTGTGTTTCCAAAGAGTGTTACAAACTTGATCACTATAACTACAATAGTCAGACCTTTAGATGTGCATTATGGCGTTTTCCTTCTTTCCAACGCCTTATTTGACCATCATTCATCACCCTAAACCTCCCTTTAAAAGACCTAATGCAAAAAATTAAGAAAAAATTAGTTACCGACATTGCATATCACACACTCACACTATCACAATACCTATTTGAAGAATTTCAAATGATCTTTACGTACGAGTAGCCCTTGATTTTTATTTTCTTGACTTTAGATACAACTGGAGTCATTGGTTTCCTACTCTTCAACTTCCTTTTCTTTTGTTTTGCAGTAATATGCCTCACTTGCATGAACTGACAAAAAATGGTATCCATATATATATATCACCATCAATAAAGAAGTAGAAGTAATTTTACAAAGAATTCAGTCGGAACGCTAAAAGAGCAGATCATTGCACCCTCTACTAACTGTGAATTTCATTTCTCAAAGTGACATGTAGCCGTTCAAATATTTGAATTCAGGTCATAAAACAACTTCCTAATACATTGACTAGCTGCAAAAAGAAAATTGTTACATAGAAATTAATGATCCCACATCAAGCCATAAAAACATTCATTCTGAACAGAGCTGTATTTCAAGCCATGGATGACAGCTAGACATTCTAAGAAATCGAGAAGTTCCAATATAAAACCCTCTTCATAGGTTGAAATCACACATATACAAAAAATAATAGAACCAGTCGAAAGAAAATAACACAGAAAGTTTGAGACTTACAGACGCAGGATAAAGAGACGACTGAACGGGTAGTGAAATTAGAGGAGGTGAAATGGAGCCATGGGAAAGATGCTTAAAATTGGAAGAAAGTGCGAAATGAAAAAGGGACTTCTGAAAGCGATATGAAGATGAGTGAAGAAGACGACGCGGTAGATGATAGGGGCTCTGACGGGTGGTTGAATGCAGAGCAGCTAGGCATCGGAGCTTCGAACACCATTTTTGCATCTTCGCATCGATGTTCCAAATACCCCCGGCTCAGAGGTTCGGCGTGGCTGAGAAGCAGAGATACAACACACAAAAGTAGACCGGTCAATTGCATAAATTGGTTCAGTTCCGGATCCATTAGGTCGGATTCTATTCGGATAGACTCGGGTCCAGGTGTAAGACTATTATTTTCAAATAATACAAAACTAGTAGTGACAATAGTATTTTATTTTATCAAATAAATAATGAAAATAGAGAAAAAAAAGTTGATAAAATTTGACTCTTTAAATAGTATACAGACACTATAAATTGGGACAGAGGAAGTACTTTGGTTAATTCTCAATACTCCCCTATTTAAAAAAAATATCAATTTTTTTTTAATTTTGTACTCCCTCCGTTCTTAGCACGTAGATTAAAAAAAATTAAAAAGTGTAAAGACTTCGTCCTTAATGTGATGGAATAAGGCGAATTGTATTTTGCTAAAAAGTGAGGGTATAATGTTACATTTCTTTAAAAAAATTTGCCAAAATAGAAAACGAGAAAAAAAATTTTGTACAGCTCAAAATGAAAAGTGCAAAAGAAATTAATGGATTAAGGGAGTACTTTGAATCTTTTAACATTGATTATTAATGTCATAATATGACCCAACACTACTACAAAAAAAGGCAGAAACACTGCCTCAACTGCATCGCCCACATTAACAACCAATGCAAAAGATCAAAAGCATCGGTTATCTTGAAAATGCAATGCAATTGATATTTATTAAATAAAATATTAAAAACTAAAATATCTATTAGAATCGGTTATTTCTAGAAAACCGGTGCCATTTGATGGTGTAAATACCGTGCAAATATTAAGTATAAATGAGCGGAAGGGCTGTAGGTGGAAACACCTGTAACCCGGTTTGTTATTAATGATAATAAGACTATTACAAAATACAAGCCGTGTAGGTTAATTAAAGCATGCCTCACAAATGAGGTTTTTAGTCCTATTTATAATAATCTCTAAGCACGTCAAGCACGTCTTTGCTCATCCGGCCGGTCAGCTCCCTGACCGGTCAGTTTGTATGCCTTCGTCAGAAGAAGCCATGTCTTTGATTTTGGACCTTCTCACCCCCGACCGGTTAGACTGCCCGGGTCGACTGGGTCATGGGGTGTTGGATTTGATACCTCCCAGTCGGTGCGAACCTACCGGTGGAATTCATGGGTTATTACTCATCAAGGAGTCCTCCGATTCCCGGCTTTGTGGGTACCATCAGAGGCAGGAAGCATATGCAATCTTTTCAAATTCCAACTCTGCGTGTGGTTTTGGCGGGAAAACGGTACTTGTAAACTGGTGCCAAACTAAATATATTTGAAATTTGAATTTTGAAATCCCGGGCGTCAAACGCGGGGAGAATCTTTATTGGAATCCCGTATGGCGCCGCCGATTTGTCGCGCCGTTTCGTCTTCTCGAGAAGTTATCATTACGAATCATTTCTGCTGCCACGTGTCGCTCCCTTATTCATCCAGCTGGGCGGCACCTCCCCTATATAAAGCGAGGTTCCCCATCGAATTTTCTCACTTGCAATTTGCTATCTAAAAATTTGCCCGGTTGCTTCCACTATTTCTTGAGTCCTCTGAGTCTTCTAGTCTCAAGTAAGTCCTCTTTCTTTTCCTCCTTACTTTGAGTCATGTTAGACCGCGAGGATAGCCAGAACCCTTCTATCCATTCCTAGGGTTCTGGTGCCCGGTCTCAGACCTCTAGTTCCCAATCTTCTTCTTCTTCTGAGCGCCCGGCTACTTCTCCTTAGAAGAAGCCGGTTGATGCTTCCACTTGTGCCCCTTCTTCTTCCACGGCACAAGCGATCACGGTTGCTCGGTCCGTGGGTGACGGCTTTATTCCGCTGGATGACCGGTTGCTCTTGGAGCAACCGTCGTACATGCAGAAGGCTCACGTCCATGAGCTGCGCAACCTGATGCCCGATGGTTACCAGTTGTCCTACCGGGCAATGTGGAAGAATATTATTTCTCTCCACGCCGGTATGACGATTGGGATCCACTACCACTCCATCAAGGACTTGGGTGAATTCTCTATTCACCCTTTCAAGGTCCTTTTCTTTGAGACATACGCGATCATGCCCGGGCTGTTGGCCCCAAATGGTCACCGTATGTTGAGCAGCTTTATCAATGTCTGTCGTTTCCTCCGCATTCCCCTCTCACTCTGCCTTTTTGACCATATGTTTGATGTCCGGCTCGGGTCCAAGGAAACCCTTGGATTCGTGATTGTGTCCTCTCATCAAGCCCGGGCATTCCTTTCCGGTCTTCCTCATTCCAATAGGGGTTAGAAGGATAAATATGTTTCTATTAAATTCCCCCCGGACGCTTTCCCATTTGCCCAAAATGCCTGGGGGAAATGAATGAAAGTCCAGGTCAAGCCCAGGGAAACTGATGACCTGGCCGCCTGGGAAGCCACCCTCCGGACTGGGGACACCTCCACCCGAGGTCCCTACAATGTTGGGAAGTGGGGGGTCTACCCGGTTCGGGAGACTGACCCTGAACCAGAGATCGTTTTGGAGGAGGCGATCCCAGACGTTATTCCTCTCCGCCGCTTGGAAGGGTCTAAAGCCCCGGTCTCTGCTGTCGCCAGTTCCTCGCGCCGGAGGAAGAAGGAGGAGAAAGGTCCAGTCCCACTTCATCTTTTAATTTGCATGTTATCTTTTGCAACTTTCTTTTATTAACCGGTCTTTCTTTTGATGGTTGCAGTGGTGAAATTCAACTCCAAATTTGCCATCCCACAAATCATTGACGCAGAGGAGCCCTCCACCGCCCAGCCCTCTGGCCAGCCGCTAACTTTGGAAGAGCAGTTGGCCCGGTCTCATCAGGGCACCAGCCAGCCCATTCACTCCGGGGAGATCTACATCAATGTAGATACCATAGAGTTTGACACGATCCTGATGGAGACCGGCCATACATCAGAGGCCGGTCAGGGCGGTCAACAAGCTGAGGGGGGTAGCGGCGAAGAAGAGGCTGCCGAGGAGGCCCTCTAGAGGAAGAGGCGGAGGACTCAGACTGTGATTCAATTCACGAATTCAAAGAGTAAGGAATCGTACGAGTTCTTACACCAATAATCACGTATAGATTCGGGACTTTAGCTTGATCCTCGTGATGTCATTTCTTCTACGGTTATTACACATATATTCCCTTGCTAGGGTCATAACGAAGTTTTTCTGTTCAATGAGATCATCAATAATAACCTTCAGAGATAAGGCATCATTTGTTTTGTGGTTCACATAGAGAGGTTTAACATAATGTTCAAGTCAGGGTAGTTTTACTATTGTGATCGAGTCACGTATTCCACAGGGTATAATTTTCAAAGATCGATATCATGGTATTATCGAGTATTGTTTTGGTTCCAATGAAAAATCATGGTTTTAGTATTTTGATACAAAGAATGGAATTCAATCTTTTCAAGATTGATCAAGCCATATGTTTTCAAGGGTGTAGTTAACACAACAAGTTTGAGTATTTCAAGGATATGAGTCACAAGATATCAAGATAGCGTTTGCGAATTATCGTTACTAATCGTAGGTTTTCTTCCTTCAATGTTTCACTTATTAAAAGTTACTCAAGAGGTCGTTGTCTTAGGAAATAGCCATTTTGACTTTTCGTCTCGGATTTGAACGTGTTTCAAGACAGCGAATCTAACTGTTCAAGAGTCTCAATACGTCATATCGTCAGCAGACTATAGTATTAGCGAGTACGTTCTCGTCTGCAGGTAATTTGAATCCATTTTACTGTACGTATTTTGGCTGGTGATAATTACTTTTCCATCAATGGTCCGATTTCAGAGTCTATATATATCACATTGTGGCAAGAGTATCTCACATTCTCACATTATGGAAGGAACTTCCCGAACTTTTCCTTACACCATAAAATTTGTTGGTCTACTTGGTAGTCATGCTCTTGGTAGAAATCCAAAGTTAATGGCTACAGCGGTAGATTTAGGACGAGAATTGGTAAGGCGAAAAGTTAGGCTTACCTACGGAGGAGGCAACGTTGGCCTTCAAGAAGCTGTAGTTTCAACAGTCTATAACAATGGTGGTAGAGTTAGAGGTTTCATACCAGGGTATATAGCAACACGACAGGTTTACGGACTTACGTACGGTGTAGAGTACACCGTTTCCAGCAATTACTATAAGTATTTCGAGATGAATCATATTGTGGAAGCCTTCATCGTATTTCCTGGAGGGATTGACACTATGGAAGGTTTGTTCACTTTGATCTCATGGGCATCCGAAAGGTTACACAGTAAACCCATTGGTCTTTTGAACATTGACGGTTATTTCAATAACCTAATCAAGTTTCTAGATGATGCTGTGAGGCAGAACTTCATGGCTTTGTATCAAAGGAAACTTTTTATTTCTTCTTTCTTTGTTGATGAGCTTTTAGACAAACTAGAGTTTGCTAAAGCTTTCTCGGGTCCTGGGGCTAGCTACGACGAATTTGTAAATCTAGGGGGATTAGATTTGGAGTTACATTTTTAATATTACTTCATGTAATCCCAGTTGTATTTGTGTCGAAATGATATTATCTATAAATATTATTCTACGTTGTATTGCCAGTGCGAGCTACATTTCTTCATTCTTCAGTTTTTCACTGTTGGTGTCATTGTTTCACTTCTTGTTTTTGTATCGTCACCACGTCACAATCTTTCATGTCGAACGAGTCAATTACTTCATTATTTCGATCAGACTACATTGACATTTTCGATGATAAGCATTTAGGTCATTAATCGCTTCATAACAAAGCATCAGTTCATTCAACAAGGTTGAGCGGTCTATAGCTTCTAATAAGCAGGTTATTTGAATTTGACCGAATAAGTCGTCAGTTCATAGTAAAGGATAGCAATTTTTGATCGTTAGTTTGTTCAAGTTTCTTAATAGAGATTTGTGAGTATCTTGACCATAAGTCAATCTTAGAGAATACTATGAATTCTCTAAGCTGATCAAATAAGTCATGATACGAGGTAAAGGATAACGAATTGTTCAACTAACATTAGTTGATATAGAATCTCATTAATCCTTCTTCATTCGCGTATGAACAAAACAGGTATTCTCCCAAGGAGGAAACAATTGATCAGATGATTCTTTGTCAAGAAGTCATTGATGGAAACATGTTCAATACAGAGTTACAAATATTGGTCCTTTCTAGGATCAAGATTGACAGAGAATTCAATTTCGCGGAATAGTGAAATATTAGACATTTCATATCAGAGAGGTGACATACTTTCGGTACGTTTCTTCAGTTCAGATATTTCTTTTTGGGTATCGCACGAATAGACTTCACACTTGAGATGTTTTTGTATATATATTCGAGATGAACTTGGTCGGTTTAGAAATCAGCTTTGCTTTCACCTCTATAAGGTTACCATCATTGGTCTTCAGTTGAGGAATTCTTCATCACAAGTTGACAACATCAACGACGTTCAGTCAGTTAATGCATACTAAGGATAATGTTGATTTTCCTTGTATGGTACTTCAACGATGTTTTACAAAGAATTGTCGCTTAACAAACGATTTCAATTCACATTAAGTAATCGCATAATGTGTCCTAATGAGTCAAACAATAGTATCGGATACTTTAGATAACAGAGTTTATTGATTCTAAACGTTTGAGTTTGAATCAACGATTAGATCGTTTTGAGTCCACATGAGGATCTTTGACATCAGCTTCACAGATGTTTCTCAACATATATCAACACGAATCGTTCTTCAGGTTCATCTCACTTCCGTGCGACTTTTCTAGTACAGATCAACTTCGTCATTCACGATGCGATGCGTATGTTGATAACGTATCAAAGGTTTTTACATTTTTTTATTCTTTCGTTTCTTTACCGAATACGAAAATTCGACTTGAGTCTAAGCTCGATATAATTTCAGTACTAACAATTGTTATCAAATGAGAATTTTAACAAGTCAATATTTACTAAGTAAATTCTCATACCTTTCCTGGAGCAGAGGGATGCGAGAGTCGTGGATGTGATTGACATTTTTTTAATATCAAATTTCGATCCAAAGATCAGTTTTAAAACCATTTGCTCCGATACCAAATTGTAACACCCTAATCTGTCCAGGTCTGCAGCCCCTTTCGGACTAAAGTATTCATTTGGTATTCGTATAATTTAAAACTTTTCAAATAACTTTATTCATCATAAATAAAATTTCATACATAACTGTAGGAAATACGGAGTGTTTAATAATATGCGGAAGCGACTTTTACACATTTCTCATAACAAACATAATTATTTATTTTGTCAATAAATCCACCACGACTGTCTCACTCCTTCTGCTTCCAAGAATATGTCAATCATTCATTCTGTCTACCTGCGTGTAGCAAATAAAACAGACTACACGCTCAGCGGTGAAGCTCAGTAAGCATATCTAAAGCGTTGAACATCCATATAAATTGAATTTCAATTCATAATCAACCATTTGATATCATGCACACAATGTTTAATTCAAACATTCATAATATTCTCAATATTTTATTCCAAGTCATTTGATATTCAATATCTCATACAACGCTCTTAAATTATTCTTAATCTAAGGCCAAATTATTTTATATTCAGCTCTTAGCTATTCCTAGTCTAAGGCTGTAATTCTAACCAGGCCCTTAAACTATAAATAGTTTAATGCAGAACACAAGAATCGATAATCTACCCTATAAGTCATGTGGATTACGCACCAACCGAACAATGATTTGTCGGGTGGGTGATATCCAGTCTGGATCCCGTACGTACGTTTTAACCCCGAATTATGAATTGGTCAAGGAGGTATATCTTAGAGTTCTTCTAGATATCCTTACAATATACATCATCAATATACAAGTGGGTATATCTTAGAGTTATTCTAGATATCCTTACAATATCCATCATTTTCATGATCACCATTATATTCATTTTTAATCATGATTTAATCAATAATCATTCCAGTAGATTTATCATTCATAATTATCCATAATAATTATTCATCATAATGATCATTCGACATAACGTTTAATAACAAATAGCGGCCTAGTCTCGAGTGTTAACACCAAAACTTACCGTGATGCATCACATAATGTTTTATATGCTAAAAACATCATTTTTATTGTACAAAATCATATTTATAATGTTCATAATTAATTGGTATCAAAAATAGGATTTTAGAATTTAAAAGGATATTTTCCAGAATATGTTCTCAGCAGAATCTGGATTTGAGGAAAAATCGATTACTGCATTTAAACTAATCGATTTAATTAATAAAAATCGATTTAATTAATTTAAATAATCGATTAATGGAATAAAATCGATTTTTGTAAAATAAATAATCGATTATATACCTTTTTAATCTATTATTGGAACGGAAAAATCGATTAACTGTACTGACTTCGAATCCTTGATCTGAATAAAGTTCTAATCGATTCTTAGTAAGTAAATAATCGCTTTTCGGTCACTATTTATCATCTTCTTCCTCTGGTCAGTTTTAAAATTATCATTTTTTAATCATCAAACTTCAATTAAACTATATAAAAATATTCTCCAATGTTCACAAATCATTTTAGAGTCATTAATTCGTAATTTTAACATCAAATTCAAGGTTTATGATTCTTAGTTCTTCAAACATGTCAAACACAAAACTCAACCAAATGAGAAATTATGAACATAAAAACGACCTATATGAACATTCTAGTCATTAGATATATCTACGGGCTTACCTCGAAGCTTAATGGAAGTTTTGAGAATTTTCTGGCGAGACTTCCGGCGAGGTTTATGGTTAGTTCCGGCGACTTCACAACAAATTGACAGCATCATTGCACTCTCCACACTCAGAGGAACATATTAGGAGGAAGAATTTCATGAATTGGTGGAGAAATGAGAGATTAGCTCTCCCTCCTTATATAAGAAGATGATGAAGAAGAAGGCATGTATGCTGCGTAGGATTTGCGTAGGAATTGGTCTTCATTCGGCTGAGTGGAAGAGGAGGCGCCGTCCCTTATTGGGACTAATTTTGATTCCAGTTGGGGTACACTTTTTGGTCCAACTTTCTCCGAATTGAAATCCGTTTGCACCGTTGCGATCGGACAGTTAAACTTTATCCAATGCTATAACTTTTATATTTATTTGTAATACTTTTTCTGACATCATATTTTTGGGTGTTTGACCTTAATAGAGTCAAAATTGGTTTAATTGACTTTTATCATAAAAGGTTCTCACATTTAATTTATTCT